TGCCAGTCTTATATAGAACCTTCATACCCCGCGTATGGTCCGAGTATAGAGTAGTATAAGCCTTCCTTATACTTCCTTATACTCCGGTAGTATAGAGTAGTATAAGCCTCCCTTATACTTCCTCATACTCCCTAGTCACATGATCTTCTGTAAGGAAGAAATCCTTGGATCGCCTAGCTACCCTAAGCGATCCCCATTTGCTATAAGAAATCTGAATGTGCCTGTCGAGGGTTGCGCCTCTTATTATGACAAGTATCACGTGAACACGTGATTCGTGACACTAACTACCTATTTTCTCTTTCTAAACTAGTTAGCTAGAGATTAATATCTAAAAGAACTTGAGGTACTAATCCCTTCTAACTATTTCTAATTATACTACCCGTGATCCTACTAAGAATTTCGACGTTGCCAAGGCTACGTACGATCGCTATCTCGCTTAGCCCTATGACCCCGAAAAAAATGAAAAATCCGGACATGCTGTGACGAAACCGGTATCTAACTGAAGGTATCGAGTTCGAAGGTTGGTATGCGAAGAGAGATGACAGTATACCACTGTGTGTTTACTTGGAAGTAAACTCGTCACTTGTACAAAGTCGTCAAAGTCAAAAGGTATTGATAACTGTGTAAACTAAGTTGAGCACGAAGCTGCTATCTAATGGCAGACGTGCCAGTCTTACATAGAACCTTCATGTTCTGCCATCGCCTACATCGCCTGTCGATACTGGCGTTGCAAATGGTCACGTGATTACAATGTAATGAAATCCCTGGATCGCTTAGCTAGCCTAAGCATCCCTATTTGCTATAAGAGATATGATAGTGCTCAACCTGTCAGGGCGCCGCCTGGTCTACTCATCACATGCTTACACGTGATTCGTGACACATGCTTTAGAACTACAACTATTATACTTCAAAAGGCAAGGCGAAAACGGGCAAAAAGAGAAGGTACGTACGTATCTTACGTTCGCCGGGAACTAAGTGTACAGTACATACGAACGTTTAATATAATCCAAAATACACGATAGTTAAATTCCACCCCACTCCTATAAAACAGTACTAGAGCATACCTAGCTTACCAAAGCCAGCGCAGCAAAAACGAAAGAAAGAAGAGGATGAAACTCTTGCGTTCGCCGGGAATCGAACCTGTTCAAATTAGTAAGGAAGACACATCATCATAAGATAAGAGGAACTAACCCGGGGCCAATGCAGATGAAATCCAAGGGTTACAGCCCGTGGAATTGGCAAGCATCGATTTTACCACTAAACCACAAACGCCGTGTTTTTCTTGTATGAGTGGGTCCATTTTATTTCGAGTCACAAAAGTGAAGAAAGTTTGGAAGGTGAGCTTAGCCATTGTGGGAGAATTTGTGGGCCGATTCGTAATTTCACTTTGTGTATTAGTGCGTTACGGAGTGGCACTCAAGGTGGGGTTACAGTACAGTACTATGGTTTTGTGAAATGCGGAGGGGTTAGGTCCGATGAATAGCCGTGTTGAATTGTTTTGTAGCTTCCAGACAATATAACCATTAGAAAGTTCGCAATTGAAGTATATTATAAGAGGACTTTTTAAGTAACGTTCGCTACTACAAACTGTGGAAGAGATGAAAAAGAGTAAAGTCACATGATACAGGACCTCCCTTTTTGCAGACCCCACTTTATACCAATATTCTTACTACTGATTACGAGTAAGAGTATAGGACATCACCCTCGACTTTTTCCGCTACCCTACTTAACGAAAACTAACGTGGACTAATTTTCTAAGCTCTTATATGTAAGAATTATCTGTTGTGTACTCTCGTAAAGCTCTCATTTAATCATCCCATACATTAATCCTAATTCACATTTCATCAAATATGTCCTTCATTCTAATTCCAATCTAAACACGCCTATACATTCCCCAAACAACACCAGCTTTAATTTTCTACTAAACCCTAAGAACTCAAAATAATAATCTAAGCAGCCATCGTCTCACCCCATATCACCCCTCAAATACAAAAGTTAGAATATAAACACCCCTTCCATCGTGTTCAATCCGACGCTATACCAACAAACAAAGACTAACGAAGAAAAAACAGAGCAGAATATCCAGTAGAAGAGAATCCATATATAATCCCAAATACTGTAGAATACAGAGGACTAGATAAATATACTATATCTAGAAAATATAATATAACACAGATACGAGTACGTATTAGAAATCTAATTTATAGATACCTTTATATTATACTCTATCATTATCCCTTCCAGACCACGGAGACACAAAAGACGTGCACTAGAGGGTGGACAAAGTAGATGCGATACCTGGCTCACGCTAAGGCTCAAATGATTAGAAATATAATCTAGTTAGCTATACGACTTTATTTAGCGCAGAAGGCGTTATAAGAGTAGATAGATACCTTTACTCTACCTAGGAGTAAGATTACACGTTTTCCTTACATCTCTATAGTCTAAAAGGAATATACGTGTAAAAACAGCCATACTCTCGTTTTACAATAGTAAGAGACCCGGTTAAAGTCTACCTTATAGGAGAGCCCGGGGTTTTTGCGACCGTTGTAACACCGTGATATAATAATTAAAATGGTTAACTTAAGTATTAGGAAAAGATAACCCTCCCTTAATTATTATATTATACTTATATAATAGAACTATTAGTATTTATAATAGTATAAGTACCTTAGAGGAGAAAGCGGAGTTTTTTAGACTATCTTATAACTCTTATATAAGGGTCTTAAATAGAATATAGTCCTAGGAAAAAACCTACTAGGTGTTACGGAGTTGGAGGAACTAGGGGTTGATCACGTGTAGCGCAGCATGTAGTATGTGTCACGTGCGCGCTGCTGGCATCCTGTATTTAAGCTCTCGTTCCTCTGGAACTCTCTTCCTTCCTCACTTTGTTGTTCGCTCAATACAGCAGTTTCCGTTTGACTCCGTATTCATCACAGCAAGCAGTGGTTCACTCCACACGGTTACATTACAACAAAGTCACCTCTTCGCCTGGGAAGGCCTGTTATAATATCCCACTTTGTTTATTTGTTTTTGGCTGACGA